AAATAAATAGCAAGATGTTTAGAATATAAAATGTTTTGTTCTTTTTATTCTGTTGGTTTATGCATTTTGCAAATTTTTATGAGATGATCTATTTTTCATAGAATTATTATTAATGACAATGTAATTTGGCCATATTTGTCAATATTTCTTGATTTTTCTCTTGTGGAGGAAGCAGTAGCATCCTGAGAACATGTGCAATGTGTCATCAAGACACATGTTTGTGAAATAAAGACTGATATCCATGGAGAGGTAGACATGGTATCGGATGCTTGTATTTCCAATAGAAGTACACGTGGTTGGAGGTGAAAGAAACACTGTCATATATGCTAATGCTTTCATTTGGGTACACATGGTCAGAAGTGATGCTATGGTGTCATGTGTTCACACTTTGACTCAGTACACGTGGTTTTTGAATCGTGGGAGGAGGGGGTCATTGTGTCTTGCGTTCATACTTTCATTCAGTACATGTTGTTGATAGGCACGGTGTCATGTTTTCATAATTTTTTTCCCCATTCTTTGCGGGTATTATGTACTCTTACTTTCACTCAGATTGGGAGGTAGCATAGCATCATATGTTCATATTTTTAATCCAGTAGTTGGGTGTTGGGGTTTCAAGGTGTATATGCTTATATTTTTCCCTCATTCAGGTACGTGTAGGAGGAGGGCAGGGAGTCATGTGCTCATATTGTCACTGATACCCCCAGTCCCAACAAATTGTATTCTACGTTACATATCAATTTTTTACGACGAGATCAACACTAAACATATATTGTTTAGTTTACTTTTATTTTATTGTTATCCATTTCTTAACAATGACATTTATTTTCTCCAAATGTGGTTAGGTTTGGCGTTTCTTTATAAATTTATTACAAAGAAAGCGTTTTTGCGCGCACACACACACACACACTCCATGTGAGCTGATAAACTGGGGCTTCATAAATAAAAATCCATATAAAAAATGTGTCAGCCTTTTATGACTATGAATGTCGTAAATATTTTGATTGTTTATGGATGGGAACTAAAATTAGATTTCTCTATTTGACCATGTGCTGCCGCTTTAGCTTTATGAGAACTTTTTACTTCAGTGAAAACTCAATTTTGTTTTTTGTTTTTTTATCAAAAAAATATCTACATAAAACACGTGCACTACAAATCTCTCTCACACACACACTCAAGAATTCATCTTTAAAATATTTTGAAAAGTTTTCCTTCTTTCAAAAAATATCCCAAAATAATAAGCTGATAAATATTTTTTAAAATTAAATCTCCAGCACAGAAATGGAATAATTTTTCCAATTGCTAATAAAAAAAATACACGTTTATTTTCTGGTACAGAAACTTTATGGATTTGTTGTTGAACACAGCATTTTTGCCCCAGCTGATAAAAGACAGTTATTAAAAAAAATAATATTGAATTAATGACCAATATTTGTTTTAACCTCTTTATAAGACATCTACGAATCGTTGCGGGCTCTAAACTGTTATTTATCTTTAATTATCTAATCCATACTTTGAGAATTAAAAAAAAAATACTTTTTTTTATTCTACTTCTAAAAAAATCAAAAGCCTTTTTTTTTTTTTTTTGTCAATTAGGCTGAAAAATTTAAAAATCTATTTATGGTTACCCAGAATACGATATGCATTCATCCTTTCAGTTTCAGATTTTCATTTATTTATTTTTTCTAGTATTGAATTTATTTTGAAATGCTAAGATGAAGTTAGTAGTTTCCTTAGGACACACATTTCTAAAGTACTCTCTTCGACGCTTCGTGTACTGTAGCTTGTTGCTTTTTTTTTTTTTTTATCGAGATGAACTTTTAAATGAATGGTATGCAAGTTCAAGACTCGTTCAAATCGATTTCTCCAAAATTCCCCAAGATTAATTTAAGTCAAAGAATCGTTCAACAAAGAAAGTGCCATGATAAATAGAAATATGTCAAAGTGGAAGGTGGCATTTTTTAAAATCTTTCATAAGAGAAGAGTGAATAAAAACTTGACACTTTTCAGATTATTCATTACTTGTTGAAAACAATTATTTACATTTTGAAAATATGAAGTTTAAACTATTCCATTTTGGATATTTTTTTAATGGATAGGTGGATGTTTGCTGTTCGTACGACCCCATGAAAAATGTAACATAAAAAATAAAAATGATTCGCAACATATTCATCTATGTTAGTTACCAGAAAGGATGGTTTTGTTGCTACTCTTTTCTTCCCATTATTACTAATAAGCCACTCTCCACACCACCAAATTAAACTGATGATTGAATTGAAAATGCACACACATACACACACACACACTCTCTCTCTCTCTTTCTCATGCATGGGTACACTTACCTTAAGTTGTTCATTTTGCAAGCATTCCAGTGTTCCTGCATCTCTATAAGCCAATGTACATTTTAGCCAGAAAACAATTGGTATTCCGTAGCAAAATAATTTTTTGGTAAAAATTAAGTAGCAAAGGTAGTAATTCCCAAGTATGTATGTATATGAAATCACACTCTCACTTGTCCTCACTGCTGTTAGATAGTGCTGCCCTTGATGGTGATGATGATGAGAATGATGATGATTGAGTATATATAAACATATATATTAACAAAAATATATGTATGTATGCGTGTGTGTGCGCGCAATGTGTTTTATATACATATATAGATATCTATATATATATATATATATAGTGTGTGTGTGAATGCTTGATGATTTATAATCGGTTTGATTTATCACACCTTTGGGAAAAAATAAAACAGGTAAAAATATATCCCCAGTGCTATCCGCTAACTGGTTAGTGTGTTATGAGATTGGTTTTTAGCAAGAAAGCTTATTTGGTTCGATTCTGATCAGCTGTTGGTTTGTTTGTAACAAGGTAAAGGTATAAATCCGCTGGGTCGAAGGGGAAAAAATCCAAGGTTCGATGTGGCCCGTCTTAATTTTTCTCGTTTATATTTCGTTGTTTGCTGTTTTTATTAGTAAGCTTCTTTTTTTCCTTCTTTTTTCCTTCTTTTTTTTTCTTCACTTTTTTTAGCTGTCGTTATTTTATTCCTTCTTTTTTAAAAAGTGTCAATGTTGTGACTTTATTTTTCTAAGTATTGTCGGTAGATGGAAGCCCAACAGCGGTTATAGGCACGGTAGCTATGTGGGTGATTAGTGGTGTGGTAGCAGCAGTAATTCGAGGTGGAGCTACCCCCAAAAACCTAACAGTGGTGTTTTCTGCTGTTTGCCTAACTCCTAATTCTTACCTAGGTTACTTTGTAATATGTGTGTGTATATATATGTGTGTACATACATACATATATATATATACACACACACACACACATTTATTTATGCTGCTTTTCTTCTGCCCAGCTGACAGTTCTGTTGATTGGAGCCACCTCTCTGCTCTCTTCTACTGCTCACCACACTCTCCTCTTTATCTTCCTCTCCCTCCTTGTTTCAATCTGTCAGCCTCTCTTGTCTCCCTCACTCATTCTTCGAGTTCTTGGGCTGCTGCCGTCGCAGCTCGTGTTGATGTCGGCCCTGGTGTGGGTGCTGCTTGACTTGACTCTCTCCTTCATTTTTCACTGCAGTTTATGCCCGTTCTCTGCCTCCTCCATTTCTTGACTTATACTTTCCTCTATTTCCTCTCCCTCTTTTCTCTCCGATTTCTTCTGTGTACCACAATCTCAACTCAATCCTAGGGCATGTTTCTCTATCTTTCCTCCGCTTCATATGATACTCGTCAGAGCGGCTACCCATCAGTTGCATCGCACATGCATTATTAGCGCCGATGTTGACTCTCTGCCTCTTTCTATTATATCGATACAATAACTACTGCTTTTCCGTCATTCATTCAATGAAATTAATTCTCTTCGCCCGACGACAATGCTGCCACTTTTCCGTGGACACTTACTCATAACCTCTTCTTTCTTGCATGATATCCTCTCCAAAAAACACCTTTAACTTTCTCCTCACCTAACCTCAATATTAAGAACACATGGTCGGCTTTAAGCACTGTAGTAAATGCAATTAATTGCAACGTTAGTCTCTAACCAAAAGATTAACGCGCGTCAATTATTTTTTTAATGAGTTTACTAGAAAAAGTCACCCTGTTGACATCTTCATGTTTTTAAAAAATACTGTTAGTGTTAGTGTTAATGTTAACTACCGGTGCCACCATCTTTTTTTTTTTTAATTATCATCTGAACTAAAGGAATTTTTTTATGTAAGTACTAACTACCTGACTTTCTTTTTCTTTATTAATTGTAAAAAGTAAAACTTAGTTTTTTTTGTTTTTTTTTACCTGAAAATATTTTTCACTTTCTCTCTCATTATTGAAAAAATGAAAATATTTTATTTTTTTATCACTGCTTATGTGTAATTCATTTTTATTCGTGATGTTACATCATGCATAACTTGGAAAAAAAAGTTGGAATGGTGAAAAAAGGAAAGCAAAAACACGTGCCTTGCTAATAATACTATTTTATGGCCCGAAAACAAAATTCTTCTCTTCTACCAGCTTCCTACTCTGAAACAACACCACCTTTCTGTCAAAGCTAGTGCCAAAGACATCAAGTGATAATCTCAGAGTCTGGTTAGACAATTTTTTTTTTTTACTAGGTTGAGAGTGGCGTGGGAGGAAGAGAAAAATATGAGGAATGAGAAAGAAATATTATTTTTACTTTCTCTATTCTTTGATAGAACTAATTAAAGAGACTTTTTTTTACGGTTTTTTACCTGTGTCCCTACAGTGAGGTAAGTAGATAGTTGATAGGTAATTAAATAAACATAGGGGTGGCTGGGTATTTGTTACAGCGATGTAATTTTAGTCGTAGCATTTTTTTATTTGACTTTTTTTTTATTTACATTTTCACGCCTGAGCAAGCTGGTGACCTTCGTTAAGGTTCAAATGACAGCAATTCACTTTTAAATTCTTCACTTTTTAGTGGGCAAGATATATTGAGGTAAATAGGGGACACTTTTTCATACATTCTCTCCCTCTTCCCTGCACTTATATCTATGGTTGCTCTTTCAATGAATGGACTGTCACTAAATCTGTTAAATTCCTCACCCTTTCTTTTCTGTTTTCGCCCCAACCTCCTCTGTTTTCCGTTTTTCTTTTCCCCAACTTTCTTTACTACTTTCGACCCCTCCTCCCACGCTTTCTATTTTGCTTTCGCCCCCATCTTGCCCTCTTTCTTTTTTGCTTTCGCCTCCTCCCCCACTCTTTCTTTTCTGCTTTTGGCCCCCTCCTCCTCTCTTTCTTTTCTGCTTTCGACCTCTCCTCCCTGCTTTTTTTTCTGCTTTCGGCCCCCCCTCCTCCCTCTTTCTTTTCTGCTTTTTCTTTCCTGCTTTTTTTTTCCCTTTCGACCCCCCCTCCTCTTTCTTTCTTTTCTGCTTTCGACCCCCCTCCTCTTCCTTTCTTTTCTGCTTTTGACCCCCCCTCCTCTTTGCTTTCTTTTCTGCTTTGAACCCCCTCCTCTTTGCTTTCTTTTCTGCTTTCAACCCCCTCCTCCCCTCTTTTCTGCTTTCGACCCCTCCTCCTCTTCACTTTCTTTTTTTTGCTTTTGCTCTTCCTCCTCTTTCTTTTCTGATTTTGCTCATTCTCCTCCTTGCTTTCTTTTCTGCTCTCCTCATCCTCCTCTTTTTTGCACCCCTCCTCCCCATTTTCTTTTCTGTTTTCACCACCCCACTTTTCTACTTTCTTTCTTTTTCTTACTCCCTCTTTGTTTTCCTGCTTTATCCTCCACTTTCTTTTCTGTTCTCTCCTACAGTTTTCTATCTCATCCCCACCCCACCATACTCAAAATCTTCCAAGCCATTTTGTTTCCCCAGAGATCAGAGACGAATATTAAATTTTGAGTAGTAGGCCATTATATATGAAATGGATGCTGTCAAGCAGTTATGCAAATACAATGATTAATTTGAAGTTAATCATTTGGATTATTTGTTACCTTTTTCCTATTCCCTCTCCCTATCCAGTCATTCTCACCAAAAGAATGTTGCCACATTTGTGCATCTCTTTTGCTCCAGCTGCGACTTTATGACAACGACATCTGAACAGTATTATTAGGATTCTCTTAGGGGTGGGAGGGTGTTGAACCTCTCATCCTCTTTCTTCCTCTAGCTCCTTTGCTTCAGTTGTCCCAGTGCTGAGTGGTCTAGATTTGCAAAAGTGTGCTTTAGTGGGTACCTGTATGCATTTTGCATCTACCATATATCAGGCATGCATACAATTTCCCTCCCACATAGAACAGCTAAGTTTATTCAGGAATTTTTCTCCTTTTCTTTTCTTATCAATTTGTGCTTGCAGATATTTTGTTAATTCTTACTACATGTTACCCTGTGTGCCACAGAGCAAAGACTGGGAATTGTAATCACTTACCAGTATAATAGTCATAATAATATCTTTGAGATACAATCAACAGAATTTGTCAATATAGTGGTTATTTAGATTTTGGAATTCTGTTTTTCAGACAATTACATGATATTCAATTTTCTAATTACATCTAGTGATCTTTACTAGTAACAAAGTATAACTTTTTCTCCATTTCAATTCGAAACACAAGGCTTACAGTCACATCATGTTAAAACACGACACAGTATTGATTCCTATGTTCATACTGTATATTTATAAATGCTCTTTCTTCCATATTGAGCACTCTCCTATAAATACAGTAAATTTTAAATATATATTCAGTGTAACACTTCATAGTGGAGATACTATACTTTGTTTCTAGGTACTTATGGCCACATCACACTGGTTCCTGTACAATTATTATCAAGGTTAAGCAATGTCTATCCTGGTCAATACCTAGATGAGTAACCACTTGAGAATGGAATACTAGGTGCTGTAAGCTTGGATGTGTAGGTGGTGTAATGGATAATTACTTGAAATTGTTAATCAGTTGAGTTCAAATTCCTGTTGGGTTTGTTATATTTGCTTACATGCAAATACCCTTGGGAAAGGTATGAATCCACTTCTTCCCCCAGCTATGGGTTAAGTAGTAAGATTTGTAACACTAAACTATTATTATCACAAAAAAATTCTTACAATTTAAAAAAAATATATTTTCTGGCTTTAAATAACCTGTAAAATGTTCATAAGCTGTAGAAAACAAATCCATCAAAAAACACAAAACATCACTTGAATGAAGTCAGTGCTATTGTTAAATATAATAAGCTACAAAATCCCAAGAACAATATCTATACTTTTGATGACTGTTTTTATGTCCAGTATTTACATTTCACATATCAGAAAAAGGTAGTTGATTTGACAAATCTGGAAAAACTGTGTGACATTATGAGAATATCTCATGTCAGAACTCTTTTAAAAAATTGGTTTCAATTTCTTTTCTTTTTTCTTTTTTTTTTTAAATGGAGCCTGTTGAACAAATTTGAGCTTTGTTGTTTTATAACATGAAATGAACTGTATTTGAATGATTAGACCAAATTAATTTTTAGCATGTGGTCTTCACATTCAAATACAGGCTCAATGAAGAAAACAGTAGGAACACAAAGAAGAAAAATGTCATGAACTTTGTTTCTCTTTGATTCCATCTGTTAACTCTAGTCAGGTTCAGATTGAAGTCTGTCAACAGTTGGTCACTAATAATTTTCTTCATTTGTATATCTTGAGTTTTCTTGTATAATCTCTAATATCTTTAATATTATCAACAGTTTATATGCTAGCATTCATAGAAATTACTACAAAATAATTTTTGACCTCAACATTTTGTTGTTATGAAATGCTAGCACTTCTTTAAATTGAAAAATTATAATGATACTGAGATTTTAAAAAAAAATAGATATAAAAGTAATTTTCCAATTCTTTATTTCATTTCACTCACCTAATCCTAATTATGTTTTGGGTTATAATATTGATAAGAAAAACTACTGCTGATGATGATATTGTTATTGTTAATAATAATAATAATAATTTTTCAGTATTATAATTCAAAGATGTTTTGGTGCTTACATTCTGATCCTAGTTTTTATCTTTCTTCAGTTACTGTATTTACAACTCTTCTTTAAGTGTTTGTTATCATTGTCAGCTTTATCTTGTATCCAAGAATTTAATTTATTTGCTGATCACTTTCTCTATGATGATGGTGTTGATGACTAAATTTGCTGCCAACATGTATGTTCAAGACTAGAAGCTTCCAGTTTCACCAAAACCTGCTCTTACCATTCATTCCCTATTGTTGTTTTGCTTTGCAAGAGTTGGTTAGAAGTGAAAGAAAATCAGAGTAGAAGAAAATGTTGATGGAGTGAATTTGTTTTTGGTGGACCTAAACACGCCAGGAAGTGATCCACACACTTGATTTCATAACCTTCCGCTGCGGCACAAATGAAATGAGACATGCAGAATCCAGTTATGAAACTGCAATGAACTGCCACTGACTCTGTTATAATTTTAAGTGACACTTTCTGTAGCATGTCCATCAAACATAACCCACTTCATCCACTGGTTCAACCATTGAGATCTTTGGGGGTTGCTGTAATTGTCATCCGCTTATTCCACCATTGAGATCTTTGAGGTTGGTCGCACTTAGTCGCAGTCCTCATCCATGACCTTGCTGCCAAGGGTAGCCCTACCAGGAGCTTAGAACTCTCAACAGCATCAGACCATGCACCCCTCCCCCACAATGACAAGGAGTGACCATCAGAGGTATGCATGTATGTTATATCTGGTAACCTTCAAGAATTGTCTGAACAGAATCCTTTATTTCTTCTAATTGAATATTTTGCTCTTGTCTTTTGTTATATCTGACATCCTTCTTTATAATTATCACCTTTTTCTTTGTTCCTATTCTCTTTTCTCCATTGAGCTTTTATCCAGGTATAACAAAATTCTGTTCAACACTCTCTGAACCTTCCCTATATGATAGATAGTTGTGTGTATAGTCACTATATATATATATATATATATATATATATATATATATATATATGATCCAAAAGAAGCATTTTTTTCTCAAAAATTTAAATTTGTTACCATCTTTTCATCACTCATTACTCTGAAATTTATCTGGATAATTAAAACCGGAAAGAAATGTTATAAAAATGTTGCTTTTACTTTCAAGTGTAATGATATCTTTTAATTTTTATTACTTCAAAGACTTAGTTGCACATGGCTAACCATTCAAGGTGAACATTTTTGATACTTTGATGGTGAACTTAAACTTTCAGTCTTAACTAACAAAAATAAATAACAGATGTAAAGCACTTTTATTGATTGGAATTAGAAAATAGATTCCCTTTTTCTTTTCAAGTTGGTGTTACAGATAGAAGACACTGACAGTGCAAGAAAATCAATTACTTTCTTTTCCCATCTTTAATTCTTTTTGTTCACTAAGGTTTATTTTCTTATTGGGTTTTGATGTTACAAAAAAGTTTAGACGAAAATTGACAAAAAGTGTAGGCTTTCTCTCAACTCATTGACAATCATTGATAATCTGTATATGTCCAAAAATAAGTTGAGGTTTATTTTCATTTATTTTTTATTCTGACATGAGATGTTTTCCTTATACCACATATTATTTGGTTTATTATCCATTTTTTTTTCTTTTTTTATGATATTAAAAATACTTTAAAATACAAAGTGAATTCTGATACCCAGCACCTAGAAATTTGTAAAATTTATTAATGAAAGCTACGGCTACATGGTCTTGAAAAAACTACTACTTGTACTTTCACCAAAGTTAAGCCAGGCCAGTACCTAGATGGGTGACCACTTGAGAATACCAGGTGCTGTAAGCTTGGATGTGCAGTTGGTATAATGAATAATGGCTCGAAATTGTTAATTGGAGAGGCAAGTTCCAATTCCTATTGGGTTCATTATATTCATTTGTGTACAAATACCCTTGGGAAAGGCATGAATCTACCTCTTCTCTCCCCAGCTATGGGTTGATTAGTAAGACTTGTATTGCTGAACCATTATCATCTCCCTCCCTGCTCCACAAAAATTCTTACAATCTAAAAATATTTTCTGGCTTTAAATAACCTGGAAATGGCTTATAAGCCAGAATCAATCAATCAATGTTAATGAAAGCATAGTGTCAGTAGTACTTGGGAAATGAAACAAGATTGAATTGATTTTAAAAGATTGAGAAAAAGATGAAAATTCAGGAATGTAAAAGTGAACAGTAAAAAGAAAGTCATTGAATAGTGGAATTTGATACCTGTCATCAACAAGATCTGTTTCTGTCATATCACTCTCTCATTCATTCATATATATATATATATACACACACATTTCTCTATTTAAAATTTCATAAAAATGAAAGAAAATTCAGAAATAACTTTAGCATAACCTAGGTTAGTGTAAGGCTTTCTCTTCTTTTTAACTCGAGCAGGAAGTGTTATTTTTCTTTTAGTAAACATAATGGCTTTTAATTTAGCAAGCATAATAATGGCTTTTAATTTAGCAAACATAGCAAGAGATATATACTCATTCTATTACATGTAGTTAAACATTGGGAGATGTTAATGCTTGCAATTACTAAACAAATTGGTATTGCCATCTTCTCCAAGCTGAATAAAAAAAATTCAAGATTTGTTGCCAACTGAGTACTGATCTCTGTCAAAGAAAATATCAGTCAGGCTATCATAAAGCAAGGAACATCTATGTGTTGCACATATAATAAAGCCCTGTAAAATTTCCTTCATTAAAATGGTGGAAAGGTCCTGACTTCTCATCAGGCTTAATACATAACTTGTAGGTTACAATGGTAACAATATTAAATTACCAAATACTTTTGATTCATTTATTATGTACATTTCTGTTTAATTTTGACTTGATAGAAACAGAAAGAAATATTATACATGAATTAAATATTGTGGTTAAATTACCTCTAGAA